GTGTTTGATTTTTAGGAGCTCCCAGTTATCTAGTTTCTTTTCTGGTGTTTGTCCCCAAAGCAAGTAAATGACCATAAGTAATGGGACAGAGAGTCCCGGGGCACTGAGAGAGAGGAAAAAGGAGGTTAGAGGGAGCTGACTAGTGGGGACCATTCACAGCTACATCAGACGTCTGTCTGGGTCAGATTGGAGAACACCAGGGGTGAGCTCAAAAAGATCTAGCAGACGCTTTCATGATGCTGAAACCTGGACCCCTGGCCTTGAGAAAACCCCACTGGATGAAATAGGGTAGGCTGCACTAAAATGCCTGGCCCTCCATTGCAGCCCAATGTAGTGGTAGGCTGAATGAATGCATGCATCAATGAATGAATGAAGAAAGGAAGGAAGCTACTTAAAAGCTAAGGTGGAAAGAACACTGGACATCTGGGTTCTAGTGTCGTCTATGCCACTGCCTGGCTGTGTGACAAGTTACTTCCTTTGTCTGGTCTTAGTTTCCCCATTCTTAAGAGGAGAATATTGGAGATGGGAGACGTTTCTTAAAACTTCCACATACATCAGAATCACCTGTAGGGCTTGTTAAAACCTAGGTTGCAGGGTCACACCCTGAGTTTCTGATTCAGCATGTCTGGGTTGGGGCCTGAGAATTTGCATTCCTACCAAGTTCACGGAGCCCTTGTGACTCCGTGGTTAAGAGCTAAGGCAAGCTACGGCTGCTAAGCAAAAGGTCAGCAGTTCGAATCCACTAGCCCCTCCTTGTAAATACTATAGGGCGGTTTCTACTCTGTCCTATAGGGTCGCTATGAGTCAGAATTGACTTGATGGCAACGGGTTTAACAAGTTCATAGAGGTGAGGCTGATGCTGCTGGTCCTTGGATCCACATTGGGTAGCACTAGACAAAATGATTGATAAGGGCCCTTCCTGCTCAGTTGTTCCAGGATCCTGAAGTCTCCTGAGTACCCTGGGCAGGGCTGATGGGGCCCATACAGGAGGTCTGTTCTCTTTATCCCCTAGAAGGGCAAGCACAGGAGTTGGTTTTCTCTCTG